TTTGGGCCACCTGAGGATCATGCCACCTCTCCTCCACCATCTTCAATAAGTCTTCCAGTTTCTGGTTGACTGCCCAAGCGCGAAAGTCATGTCCATATCCTTGCAGTTGCACTAGCCCGCTTAACCATCGTGTTGCACTCCCCTCAAGGTAGGAGGCAGCCACAAGCACTTCCTCATAGGGCAAGGTTAACTTGCACTTAACATAAACCGGCACTGACCTCAACCATGTGTCGAGGTCTTCGCCCCTCTTGTCCCCTGGAAACGGTTTGGGTGAGGCAATGGCTGTCTTTGGAACCCACTGGCCTTGTCCCGGTACCTGCCCCACTCCGATTGTGGACCCTCGGGCGCAAGTTGCTGCACTAGCGGTTGTTGGGGTTGTGTGTCCAGCTGTTGTGCTGGCTGCGAGACAGCAGGCTGCCCTGTCACAGCAACCTGCGACGGAGGTTGGGAATACACTGTCTGTACAAGAATCTACACACTAGGACCTGTTGAGGACCCTCTTGTCAAAGGCATTCCTAGGGAAGCAGCCGGTACCGATGTTGGAGCTATGTATGGGGATACCCCAGTCACCGGTGGGACAGAAGGAGGAGGTTGTACGACGGGCCAGGCACCAGGCCCTGATGGTGATGGTGTCACCTGAGCTCGCCCAACTAGCACGGCCAGGCTCTGGTGGATGTCCTGTAAGAGCGTCATTTGGTGATCCTGCATTTCTACTACATCTAGCAAGACCGTCCTCAGGGTCCTCACATCATCATCCGTTTTTGTCCGGTCCATCTCCTCCAACTCACTAATATCCGCTTGTCTCCGCTGCATCCTGGCTCTTCTCCTGATCATTCTCTTTTTCTCTGCCTTTATCTCCCCTAAAGCCTTTTGTAGTTGTGCCTCTTGAGCATCAGCTTGTCGTATGACGATCTCTTTGAGAGTCAGAACTAACGGTTGGCTTGCCATTACACCAGTGGACTTACTCAGGGTCTGTGCGACCATTCACCCTACAGTCCCTAAACTACTAGCCTGAGAGCCCTGCTGCGCAGCAGTTGCCATGGCTGCTGAAGTAGCGGCCTCACTTGTGAATGGCCAACTTGCCTCTACGGCCCTAGCTCTTCTCTGCTGCTGCTGCCTCTCTCTCTGCTGGCGGAACAGGAATCTATCGCCCTCAGGACCTAATGCCAAGTGGGCTATCGAACCCCTTGCTGATCGCAGGATCCGATCATCCTCTCTAGTTTCCTCCCTGTTGCTCAGAAGCTACAGAACTGCACACCGTCTACACTAGGTCACTCACTCGATGCTTACCGCAGCGTCATGCACAAACCGATTTAAAAATAAATAAATTAATTAACCGCTGGCTATTTCAGAGTCTACGCATTCGGGTCCAACAGGTAAGTTCAAATTCCTACAAACGGAACTATATTTACTTAATTAGTCCACGAACAGAGAGCAAATTTTTATCTAATGTTGTCTGTCAGATGTCAATGGCAGTCCATCTAACTAATCAAAATAAAAATAGAATCGCATGTGTGGATATTTGCAGAGTGGAATTGAACACGAACTTATCACCTCGAATCTACCCCTCCCTCAGTTCCTCTTGATGGTCACTTGACGTCGGCGTCCCTGAGCGATCCAGAACAGCGTGTGTGTCTAAAGGTGTGCACATGGCCCGCCCCTGTGCCCCGAGTATATGTTGAGCTGGCCAGCCCTGCACATTGTTTATCCTCGCTTGCAGCGAGCCTTACACCGACCAATTGGCTGATCAGGAGGCGTTTAAGGACGGCCCCCCCAATCCTCAGGAATTCTTTAACGTCGTAGACAGGACGACGATCACAGCCAATGGAAGGTACCCCGCCGGTGTTTATTTATAGACATCCGGTTCTCGTCTCCCCTGTAGGGCTGGCCTGCCCCTCATAACCCATCTATCAACGCAACAAGCAGACAAAGGACAAAGCAGCAAAGCATGCGTGCTCTACTCCCGGTGGGTTGGCATGGTGATTGTGACCCAGTGCTTTGTCCAGGGCCCTTCAGATAGCTCTGCCCTCTCCTTCCAGATGCTCCACGTGAACAATGCTGACCCTCAAGGTTGAGCGCACTCGACTCCTCACATGAGAGGACTCTCAAGACAGAACACACATCCTCACGGTAAGAAGTGTCGAAGAAGGTCGATAAGGTTAAGAGCAACGTACCTCAAAATAGCTGCCCCCAACTACAGATATTCTCACCAGATGACCTGATGCCGACTGTGATGACCAATCGTTGCTTCGGCACAACCAGCATTACACCGACGTTCCACCTCATCACACTGCGAATACCCAATATACACCACGTAGCCCCTCACCTCCTGCGTCGCCCTACTTGCCTTCGCCCTCCTCACTACACACTCCCTACAGCCGCTCACCCAACAGACCGCATGTACGTACCGCATAGGCAGAAGACACCTGCCAGATTAGCGCACCGTACCACAGCTCCAATACCAAATTGCAAGGAAAATAAGCGATAGCGAACTTCAGAAACCAAGCAGCATCATACACAGAAGACCAGATAGTCGTGACCTCGAACCAAAAGCAGAATTGCAACACGAGTTTCACCAAATAAGAGCACAGCAAAAGCTTACAAGTGGCAATGTTGGAATAGGCTCATCATCATCAACAAAGAACCAATGTCGACATCCTATTTGGCGCCCTGTGCCCAGACTACAAATGGCAGATCCTATCTAGCCTATCTACAATGCCCCTGGTGACGTCAACAGCTCCCCGAAGTACGAGCAGATCTCGGCCAATGCCGTTCGCCTCAAGCACCAGGTATGTCTCTCGTATCACTCACAACCTCGATCCCCCACTCACAGATGCCACATGCACCAAGGACCACCATGTGCCCCCTCCAGCATACAGCAGCGCACCTTGGCTATGGCTGCCTGCTCCTTCCAGCTCGCCCGTGAACGAGTGAGTGCTGGCCAGTGTATAGCGCAGCAGCGCTTGCGCAGCATGCAGCCAGTGCCCCAATGAGGAGTGCTGGGGCAGGCACTTTCCTGGAAGTGACCTGCCTGCTGCGTGCGGCCTGCCTGCATTGGGCCTCGGTCCAGAAGCTTCCGGTAGGCCCCGTGAGGCTGAGCCCCAGTCCGAACGAATCAGGCCCAGGGCCTGTGGTAATTTCCTGTGCCCAACTGCCCGCAGCCTGTGTTCAGCCCATGTTGCGTATCTGGCCCAGGGCCTGCCCCAGTTACATACGAAAAAGGCAGCCTGGGCCTGGGCGCTCTCAACCAACTGGCCCTGCGCAACTGCCTGAATTTCCCCAGTTGCGTGGTGACCCCCCAAAAAAATGGGCCTGTAGGCCTTGGTCGAGCCTTCCTTCACTTAGGGCGGCCAACCGTACTGAAAATAGGTCCCAGTAGGGTGTATCAAGACCTTGAGCCTCGCAGAATCTCAAAGAAGGGAAAAAAAAGAGACATGAATTTGGAACTGAAATGAGTTAGATACATTTGCCTATGTGCAAGTGTGAGTGTGCCCTCACTGAGGGCTGTTCAGTAGATCATGGGATATGCCCTGCCTCGCTGACAGGGGAATCTAAGAAAAATTATTAAAAAAAAACAAAAGCAGAAAAAACGACATACAGTATCTAACAGAAAAACTAGTTAGAAACATTCCACCAAGAACCACCGTGACCACGACCGATGCCCAGCTTAGAAAAGTAGGTTTTTTTTTTTTTTTTGGTTCTTCCTTTTCGACGTCGCAATTCTCACCGACCAGGCGTTCATGTGAACGCTCCAGGACCCCCCCCAAATGCGGCGCGTTAATGAGACACGCCCGCGGCCCATAGCTGGCCAAGTACTGGTGGTTTAATGGAACGACTATGGGCCAAGTACTGGTGGTTTAATGGAACGACTATGGGCCAAGTACTGGTGGTTTAATGGAAC